CCGCGGGGGTCGGGCTCCCACCCCGTCTCGAGGGCAGCCGCCGGCCCCCGAGGCCGTAACGAGGCCGGAAAGCCGGCCCGCAGCTTACGCGGGGCCTACCGGAGCCGGTAAGCTGGTTGCCTGTGTTAGTGGGGAGAGAGACCCAGCTGGAGAGCTTAATTCTGTGTTTGCAGCGCTCGAGAGATAAGAACTGGTGCTTGTCTGAGCTTCACCAGGACTGCGGGCTTGCCCTCGCCAGGTGATTTGCTCGGTAAACAGCAATATAAGCTAGGATTAAGTCACAGATGATGTGTTGGTTTTTGTATCCTGATCATCTGAACCCAAATTTTGCTGCAAACCGTTTGCTAAAAGTACATTAGATCAAAGAAACGAGCTAATACATGATTTATAGCGGGCTTTCTGGGATATCCATCACAGACCATTTTGTTACAGAACCGGTACTAATATAACTGCTTTAATCTCATCATTTGCCTCCAAACTGAATCCCAATGGGATCATCTCGGTAATCACATACTGCCATTCTGACAACACACCACCCTGAACAGTCTCCCGCTTGTTACCTATTAAGTTTCATAAAGTAACAGACCAAAGATGAACAACTAATAAAGTCTTACAATAGCCTTTTTTTATTTTATTTTGTATGACAATGAGCTGATAGCAGAATGCTAAATAGGTTTGGGGTTTTTTTAATTTTTCCTTAATATTATTTCTTCTTAATGCCTGATTTAACTGAGAGAAATAACTGTCTCAGTAGCATCACTGGCCATTGCATTCATGCTTTTATTTTCAGTCTTTCATAATTAAATTCTCATCCTAATTAATAACATCCATAATTCTTACCTACTTTTGAATGAAATATTCCAATGAATATTGGAAAAGGAAAAGGAGCATAGGTCTTTGTGAGTCTTGCAGTGAATACAGTGTCTGTCTAGTTTCGTGTATATACTTTCTTAAAGCTTGCTTGGAGGATGTTACATTGTTGAAAAGGGTTATGCATTGATTTTTATCCCCTGATTGCTTTTGTTTCACAGAGACATGCTTCCAGAACAGGAGGGCCTTGTACTGGAGTCAGCGATGCTGATAAGGTTCTACTGATTTTTTTCCATAGTTTAATTTGGCTCTAACTCTTGCAATCCATCTTCATCCTTTCTTTCCTTCCTTTTTCAGTTAACCATCACAACCATCTTTTGTCTTCTACATGACATGAACCAGCCATCAGCTAATTTTGTTTCCACCATTTTAATTTATTCATATACTCTACTTTTGTTTTCCTCATCCATGTTTTTTGTGCAGAGTTCACATGAGACTCTGGACATAGTCGAGGAGAAGAAGCAGGCAGAGGTTGGGATAGAAGAAACACTAGTCGTAGATGAAGCCAACAAAGGGAAAATGCAAGTTGCCACTGATGCTGGGGAAACGTGTAAGGTGGAGCATCTGTCAAAAAAGGACTCTTCATCATTGCCATCAGATAGTAGCAGCAGCAGCAGCAGTAGTAGTGAGAGTGAGGATGAAGAGGTGGGAGAATACCAGCCACATCATAGGGCAATTGAGGAAGTCATCAGGGAAGAACAGGAAGAAGAGGAAGACGTGAAAAGGAAAGAACATGAAGAAAAAATACAGCATGTGGAAGCCACACCAGAAAGCAGTAAACTAAATGTACCAGTTGAGCGCACACAAGTTACAGCTGAAGATGTGGTCCAGGAAAATGCAGTTGCCATAGCTACAGAAGAGCAGAATTTGTCAGAGGGAATTAAGCAAGATTTGGGTGAAGAAAAAGAGGAGGAAGAGCTCAAACTCAATGGAGATGTGTCTCATGTTGACATTGATGTTGCACCACAAATAATTTGTTGTTCTGAGGTAAATGGTAGAACAGTTTGACAACTAGATTAAGCAGAGATATTTCTTGGGGTGAAAATATACCTGCCTTTCTTCTTCTCCTATTCCTCCAGCTCTTCCCAGGCATCCAACAAGATTCAGATCATTCGGAAGGGGAAACCATTGATGAGCAGTGAAACTCTGTCTCCTTCAGTTATGGTTTCTGACTTTTTGCTAGAACTGAGTGAGAATCACCAGTAAGGCAAACCTTCCGAAGACTGCCATCTCCTTTTTATCTCCCCCTTTTATATGCACATACATAATGTATATTTATTATTTACATGTTTCCAGTGTTTTAAGTCTTGTCTTGTCTATTTGTTAATCGTTTTTGACACGTCCATGGCATGTAGTTGTGATTGGAAGACTGTTGGCAAGTGAAATTGGAAAACACCCATCACAAATTTTTGTTCCTTTTTCTTTGCCCCCTTATTACTCACTGCTTTTTTTTGCCTTTTTTTCCTGCCTTTTAAAAATGTTATGAATGTATAGACTAGAATAAGTATGGCTAGAAACTACACATGTGAGAGCACTGCACTGTAAAGGGATGAGGCATATATCATGCTCCAACTATGAAGTCTTCTAGTGCAGTAGATATTTAGGGAAGCATGCATGGGTTCCAGTCACAATCAGTTGTTTTAAGCCAAGAAAAGTTAAAGGTTTCATTACTCGGCAAACTTTATATAAAGAAGCAGAAAGGGAAAAAATGAAGCACAGGGATGCATCTCTTTGTAAAGTTGGCATGTTATTCTTCTGAGTTTTTCAACAGTTGGGTGGGTTTCTTCCTAGTTGTCTGCCTGCTTGTTCTTGTCACGGTGGCAATTTTTTTTTTACTTTGCACTTAAATCCAAACAACTTACCTTCTTTCTGTTGTTGTCTTTTGCATACACAGGTGTCTTGATTAATGATGTGAAAGAATTAATTTATAAGACCTTTAGAAGTTGCAGGGACCCACACTTCCTAAAAACATAGCTAGTTTGGAGGCAGAAGGGCTGCTGGGTGTGCAAGTGTGTGGAAGGGAAAGAAAGGTTTTGGGGTTTTTTTCTGGAATTCCTTCCATGTGCATCCAAAATCAATGGGACATAGAAAGTGATACATCAATAAGATAAGTCACAAGTTCACTGGCTTACAGACCCCTGGTTAATGGCTTTCTGTGTGATATTGCAGAGAACACCACTAGCTAACTCGTAAGTACTTCAAATGGCTTTTTAGGATTGTTGTCAAAAGAAGCCATTGATTTCCAGCATTATTACATTGAATGTAGACTGCTTAAAATCCAATTGTCAAAGCTTTTTTTCTGCTCCAGAAGTAGTACCTATTAAAAAGTTAAACTTTTACGTAATTTCCTTGGAATTTCTAATCCTTATTTGCAGTTTGACTGAGCAATGATGATAGGTATTTTCCCGGATTGATTCTAATAAGAAGCTTATCCATCTGAGCCTCTTTATGCAAACTAAGATATTCTTTTTCCCTAGTGATGCTCTTCTACACTTTTTCAATACCTGTATTGCAGCTTGATTTTTGCAATTGCCTTCTGTGATATGTACTATTGGCTGAAACACAGAACTTTGGCAAGGTTATTAGGAGATTAAATTTTCCTACCGTGTTATGTAGGTACTAGAGGGCTGGTGTATTAGTCTTCATTTCACTTGTTTTATTTATTGCATGCATTGGGAAGACAGTCAAATACTTACCTTACTGTTATGCTTTTCTTGAGTTTTTCGTTGTTTTCTTGGTCCACTTTACAAATAATCTTCTGTCTGTTGAATTGATTGGTTATTCCTTGCACCACAGCCTCCCGTAGTGAAAACAGAGATGGTAACCATTTCAGATGCCACACAGAGAACTGAAATCTCCACTAAAGAAGTTCCAATTGTTCAAACAGAAACTAAAACTATCACATACGAATCTCCACAGGTATGGTGGCTGAGTTATTATGTTGTTTGGAAGCTTTTTTTAATTCCAGTTACTTGTAGACCAAAATAGATAATGTTCAAAAAATGCTTTTCAGAAACCTATACTTTTTTCTAGCAGCTAAGATTATACTCTGGCTATGAATTAGGAAGTGAAATGCGTGTAGACAAAGCAGTGTTATTTCTAAAGTTCTTAGTGTTGTTGGTTTTTTTTATATAAGGACTTAGTTGCTGTCTGCAAATGTACAACTCATTTTTAGCTTTGGAAACATGATTAAAATACATTATTGCTCCTGAAAGGAACATATAGCTTTGATCATAAATTACCACTGAGAATGAACCATAACAACAGTCTTACATGACTCAATAAACTTGGATGGCTTTTGTTTAGATTTCACTACTAACTGAACTAAAGAATGTGTTTAGTAAGAAAACCATCCTTTTCTCCAGTGAAAACAAAGCTTTTAAATGCCAAAATACAAAAATACCTTTTTTTTTTTTTTTTTTTTTTCCTTACAGTTTGATGGCAGTGCTGGTGTCAATGCTGGTGTACTGCTGAGTGCACAGACAATTACATCAGAGTCAGTTTCTACTACCACAACTACACACATCACAAAGGTAAAATACAATAATGTGTCTCTGAAGTAAAAAAAAAAAACCAAACCAATGCCTTAAAATAAAGTCTTACATGAAGTTTCTCATATATCTGCTAATTTATTGAAGCAAGCTGACTTGAAATGGATTGGATTCATTCTAGGCACACACAGATTTTTGAACAGAGAAACCCTAATGAATAAGCAGGAATATCTGAGAACAGGACAGGGAAAGGGAGAAAAATATGATTAGGTTTTGTTTTTTTTTAGTACTTCATATATGTCTTATTTCTGTGTTTGACAAATGATTACGTACCTAAATTTTAGAGTTACAGTCCTGTCATCACTTGCTAATATCTTACAGAATCTTTGTTCATGTAACTGATTTGTCTGAGGTCCGCAAGAACGCTGCTAATGGCATCTGTTACAAGGATGAACTGAAACAACGTTTTCTCAGCCTTGCTGTTGATGATCCTTGTGCTCCTAGGTTTAGAGCATATTTAAAAACAGACCATATGACTAGGTTACTTTGCAAGAATATTTTGGTGCTGATTTATGTGCTCTGCATTCCATGCTTGAAAAGGAAAGGAAAATTCAACAGGACATCACATCTTTTTCAGTCTTATGTAATGTTTCATGCCAGAGTGTGTTAGAACTACCAAAGCGTGGTGGTGATGATGATGATGACTGTCGTTATTATTGATTTATGTAGATATTTATCAAATTATAGGCATACCCCAACAACACAGGTTTGAGCTCTTGTCATTGAACTCTTTAACATAGTTTTCCAAGAAAATTACAGAAAGCATTTTTTAGGATGAAGCAAACGGGAAGCAGGAAAAGTAAGGTGTGAGTTTGGGATTTCCCTCATCCCTCTCCCCAAGACAAGAAGTTTCGTATCATCGCAGAATGGAACAATAATTCACTATCCACTAGATATTCAATATATATTCTTAAGATTGAAATATTCTTAAGATTGAAAGTTGTATTAATAGAACAACAGTGGAAGGATGGTGTTGGACAGTTGTCAGATAAAAGTCACATAAAATTAAGTAAGCTCAGAATTTAAAATGTGTATGTTTTCTTATATGGACTAGTCAATGAGTCTTTTCAGTCTTCTGCTCCCTTTTGGAATCATTAAGCCACCACCATTTTAGGAAAAAGTCTTTATTCAATAAATTGTGCTACCATAGCTTGGGGGCAGGGGGGAAGTAGACATCTACTTCTCAAGTTCAGATGTCAAATAATGTTGCTTTTTGGGAGGAACCATTAAAGAAAGTGTTTTCAGTCTTGTCTTCTACTAAAAAATTACTGGGATTACAGTAATGCAGCAGATCCTTATCTTTTCTTACAGACTGCTTATTGTTGATTCAGAAGACTGACTTTTCCAAACTAACTTTCTATTTTACATTCCAAACTGTTCATTATTGATAAAGGGACCTGCCAAAACAGTTTTAATATTCTAATGGTGTTCTTGGTTCTTTTCTAATATGGTCAGTGTGTCTTTAGTAATATTTTATTCTTTTCCCTCATACAGGCTGATTAAAAAGAAAAAAGCATATAAAGTTATTGTTGTGAGAGTTTTTGTATAAGCTAAAATGGTTTAATCATTAGAGTAAGAAATGAAGAAACAAAGTACAAAATTATTTCCATCAGTAATGTGAAATATGTTGAATAAATCTCACTAAGGTCCATGAACAGCAGAAACGAAAACCAGAGCATCTTTGCACTTAATGGCATAGGATTCCTCAAAGACTGAGAAGAGGCCTATGACAGATGGGTTGAAATTAAAGAAAAGACGCCTGGAATTTCCTTGTTGCCAGAGTTTATGGTGGAAGAAGCTGGAATTCCAGTTTGTCTGCATATCTAGATCTGTTCAAACTTGGGCTCCAGTAACAGAAGGAATTATATCTTAGTTTGTTTTTATCAAGTTCAGCAGTTGCTAGAATGTGACTGACTGCATAACTGAAAAAGGAAAGGATGATTTAGCACTGAGAACATTTACTACTAATTGCAACTCAGTCACAGAAATGTTTTTGCTTCAGTGCATCTGGAAAAATTACAAGGATGTTTTCTTCTTTTTTTTTGTGCCATCTGTAGATGGTAAAAGGTGGGGTATCAGAAACAAGAATTGAGAAGCGCATTGTCATTACTGGAGATGCAGATATTGACCATGATGAGGTGAGTATGTAAGCTGTTAACACTTACAATGTGGTTTTTGTAGTCCAGTGAAATCTACATGATATTTCAGAAGCCTGAAATAAGAAACAGGTAGAGAAGTTGAATAAGAGGACATAGAAAGACCCCGAGACTGTTAATTGTGGCAAAGTTGTTACGCGATTCTGGTTTGTGAATAAGGAGCCTTTAGAATATAACTGAAAGAAAAACAGCATTTGTAACGTTGCATCATAGATCACGTGAATGGATTTCTTACTATTTTTAAAGGGATTGCTTTTTTTGGAAGAGACTCAATTTGTTCAGTGCTGCTTTTGCCATTTGGGAGGAAAAGCATTGCTAATATAATCTTATTTTGATGCATTAATCTGGATAGATGGGAGAGTCTCTACTCTGTTGTGTCACCAACATCTGAATGCAGCACTCATTTTGACTGAAAGCTTTGAAATACATTAAAGCATAAACGGCTCAAATTAAAAGAATAGTTTTTTACTTGCATTTATAGAATTCTGTATAACAGAAGTAATTGTTGATCTGCTGGAATCTTATGTAAGTACCTTTCATCTCCATCAGTAACAAAACAGTATTTTATGATGCCTTAGAATCTAAGGTGAAAATCACTTCCACCTGCCCAATTAAGAAGGCTGAATTTAAGCAATACACAGAAAAATAATCGAGAAAGTGCAATTATCTAGTCTTTGTAGTGATGATTACACAATTCTTATTGTTTTTCATCTTAAGAAACTGTAGTGACGAAGTCGATCGAGAGTCAGTGGATGATACAAATGGAGAAGCCTACCTTCTACATAAAGTTGCAGTGAATCCAGTTCTAACTTTTATGAAAGCTACACAAATCAACGTAACAGGATTTAATTTAAAGAGCTCTTGGGGAATTTAATTTCACATTTTGATCTGCCTCCAGAAAGTGGCAAGTTGAATCTCTTCTTGAAACTCGTAATTAAATGACAGGGCTGTTCAGCATCAGGCATGGCTCTTGTTTGCCTTGACCACATGTTCAGTGCACTTCGGACATCTGGAAAGGTCACATGATACCTTTAGTGTACCAGACAATGCTTTACTAAAACCATTCTCTAAGCCCTTCTTTGTTTTGAGATAAGTGGGTAATGAAGTAAAAATGAAACTATAAAAAAGGAAGCACAAAATATGATTTTAATCATTGAAATTTAAAGCAGCAGTGAGCAGCTTTAAACAGATTTAAGAAATCTCTACCACTTTTCCTTCAGTCGGTATGGAGCTTTTTAGATGCACATACTATATGCTGGATGTTTATTCTTTTGTCTTTTAGCTCCCTACATCACTAAACCAGTTTTCAATTGGGAAATAATGTTTTAATTTGGAATTTCAGAATACAAAAGCTTGTATTACTTGTAATTTAACAATTAGAGACTTAAGATTTTTGTTGTTGTTTATGGTTTGATTATAAACACTGATTTTTAAATCTCAAGAGCCACTTTCTTCTACATCTTCATTTGTACTACAGAGATTATATTTGGCATATTGTAAAAGACAAACTAATAAAAATTGTTAGGATTAATACATCAGCAACCATTAGTATTGTACCAATGCACACTGTATGTTCTTCTGTACATATTTCCTTAATAGGACTTCAAATTCATTATCATATAATAGTAAAGGTGGCTAATATTGGTGTTTCCAATCTCTCTTCAGTTAGTTATTGCTTCTCCCGCTTACTGCCTTGTGGCTCAGGAAAATGTCACTTTTCTAAATTAAGATAAACCTTTTTGTTGCATTAAATTTTTCTTGCTCCTTCTAGTGTATTTGGGTTTTTTTAGTTGTTGATACTAAAGTGAACAGTGAGCTTACTGTTACCTCAGAATGCCTTCCAGTTTCTTCTTTTTTTTTTTTTTTTTTTTTTTTTTGTTGGGTTCCAACAGTAATATAGCTCGCTGAAATAAGATTCAGGTCAGAAGAAGAAGGTCGCAGGTGTTCTTTCACCTCTTCTGCCTCAGAGGGTGGTCTTATGTGGGTGACTGTAAAGCCTTGTGTAGAATAGAATAGAATATTTCAGTCGGGAGGGGCCTACAATGATCATCTAGTCCAACTGCCAGCTGCGTATATTGGTACATTTCTTAAGAAGATAACATTTCTTAAAATGCAGAGGAGGGATTATAAGAAACTGAGTAATATTTAAATTTACATTTCCCTGAGTTAAACTAGCAAAAGTTCTCTTAAACTAGCAAAAGGAGAAAAAGAAGAGTCTTGTGCTGAGAAAGAACTTCCTGTTATGATCTTATTCCAGAGTTTCAGTACCATACTTAGTACACATTCCAAAGTATCTTTCCACTTTGTTCAGGAAACTCAAGGGAACTCCTATTTTTCTGTACTGATTTGTACATTCTTATTAAGTCTTTATTTGCTAGATCTGTTGCAGAAGTTCAAAAATTTCTGGGGTGTAAGAATACTTCTTGTATTCTTGTATTCTTTTCTTGAGCTAGAAAAGTTACAGAATAGCTTGATGGTTATCTGTTACTTCCTGGAAATTTTGATAAATTTTAGCACAGTGAGAGGTTTTTTGTTTGGGTTTTGTGTTTTGGGGGTTGGTTGGTTTTGGGTTTTGGTTTGGGGTTTTTTTTTCTTACCCCTGAGCCCTCTCAAATTCAGGAATTTAGAGTTCTGAACAATTATAATCAAAATTCCCAATGCTACTCTCCCATTCTCTGGCCCCTTTTGCTGTTGCTGAGTTACATATTTCAAATATGTTTGCAGGCCCTGGCACAGGCAATCAGAGAAGCCAAAGAACAGCACCCTGACATGTCTGTCACAAGAGTGGTTGTGCACAAAGAAACTGAACTTGCTGAGGAAGATGAAGAGTAAAATCAAAAATGCCCTCAAGCAAATGCTTCAGGTAAGCTTATGTGTATAATTAACATAGGAAAACGTAGCATCGGTCTTCTGTTGCATTCTGTAATAAAAGGCTTGCATAATATGGACTGTCTTTGATATATATGCTGTCACAAAACAGTGAGTTGAAACAGCGCTAATAGTCGACTGTTAGTGTATCAATTTTTATCTGAAGTCCAATCTGACATTAATTTTAATTGCAGATTTTCCTGTGTACGTCTTCCAGTTTTGTCACAGTACTCTCATGGCATTTCCTATGATGTTTGGTCAAGTTGTTGTAGTTCATATTGAATTGAGTTCAGGCTATTTCTGCAAAACATGAAGGATGTGTCACATTTTTCTGTTTACCTGTACAATCACGGTCCTTGCCTCACATCTTGCTTGTTTAGTGGGAGGTCTATGTGCAGTTCCCAGTAGCGAAAGGGCACGCTTGGACATTTTAATTTAGTCAGCTAATTTTTAATCCTGAGAACACTGAAATACTTAACCTTTTTACCATTTTCCCAGGCAAGGAGGTAAATGCATTGTAAACTCAAGTTTTAAAGTGTCTTATCAGTTGGAAGAGGTATTTGAAGGAACGTCAGTTTATTAAGACCTTATTTCCAGGAATAGAAAAAAAAGAAAACCAAAAAGCCCCTCTGCTCTAATTGATGCATTCAATAGAAAGATCAGAATGAACACTGAATGAATCTGCTGTTGCACTAGTTATAGGCAACTCCAGAAGGGCCTGGAAGAACCGCATCACTTTTGAGATAGCTATTAGTTTGTAGCAAGGAGAATGCCTGCGGTTTAGGTGATTTCACTAGTCCCTTGGTACGCAGCAACATTAAACATGTGTGCTCAAACCATCCTTCTCGTATTTTCAGCATTTATATGGCAGTATCTAAGGTAGAAAGATACACTGAGACAGCAGAACAGATCATTTTGATTGGCAAGGATTTACGATTATAATATGTGCTACCACATTTTTCATTTATTATTGATGTGTGAATTTAAAGGTCTTGGGAACAGGGATTGCCTCTTCTGTTACATTTGTGCAGAATGTGCCGGCTTCTTCATGCTGCCTTGTCATGGTTTAACCCAGCGGGCAGCTGAACACCACGCAGCCGCTCGCTCACCGCCCCCCCCTTTGTGGGATGGGGGAGACAATCAGAAAAAAAGTAAAACCTGTGGGTTGAGCTAAGAACAGCTTAATAATACAGCAGAGGAAAATAATAATAATAAATAACAATAATAATAATGGTAATAGAATATACAGACTATACAAAACAAGTGATGCACGATGCAATTGCTCACCACCCGCTGACCGATACCCAGCCCATCCCCAGCAGCAATAGCTCTCCCCACGCCAACTCCCCCTGAGCATGGCATCATATGGTCTGGAATATGCCTTTGGCCAGTTGGGGTCAGCTGTCCTGGCTGTGCCCCCTCCCAGCTTCTTGTGCCCCTGGCAGAGCAAGGGAAGCTGAGAAGTCCTTGACTGGTGTAAGCCCTGCTTAGCAACAACTAAAAGATCAAGGTGTTAATCAACATTCTTCTCATCCCAAATCTAAAACACAGCACTATACCAGCTGCTAGGAAGAAAATTAACTCTGTCCCAGACGAAACCAGGACATACCTTAATCCAGAAAAGTATCTTTCAAATCAGTGTTCCACATAGTCTATCCCATGTAAGTAATTACAGAATCTTTCTTTGAAGGGACTGTGTCATGGGAGGAAGAAACAATCTCAGCAGGTTTGCACCACATTTCTACATTAGTGACTAACTGAAAAGTTGATTCTGTTCCTTCATCAAATATTTAACTATCTTGTAAAAATTTTATTCAGAAAAAGCATTCAAAGAATTCCTTCTGTCTGTTGAGGGTGGTTTTTTGCTTTTTTGAGAACTACACTCACTGTGGAATGGTGTTTGCAGTGTATCAGAGTGTGTCAGATGTTCTTGTCTGAGTTTACCAATTGCTTTACAGCTCTTGGTCTGAAATGCTTGTGAGAGAGTAAAGGAGGACTAATACAAAGACATTTCACCATGCTGCTCTCTTATTTGAGACCTGGTGACTTGTTTGACTGATGATGCCTTTCAGTTAGACATTAAGGAAAAAATTTAGTTGTCTAAACACAGGCCACCTGAAGTGCCTGGAGTATCTGTTTGCAGCTTGGACCATCAGGAGACCCATGCCCTCCTGTGGCAGCAACTGGAGGGCAGGTGGGACTGCAGAAGCAGCTCTGGACAATTGTGTTTAGGCAATGGAGTCATGCCATGAATCTTGTTTAGTTTCTAAGATGCTGAAAGCTCTGCCCCAATGACTTCAGCAATATTGTTTCTGTAGGCTGGTTTTCTCCAATGAAAGTGAGAAATAATACACTCTGATTCCGAGAGACTATTAATTGAAAAAATATCTTAATTTTTTATTTGTGCACTAGATTGTGGATTAAATTTTTCAGTAAACTGTGCAAGAGGTGACTTAAAACACCATGAGAATTTTGGAGAGGGAAAAAATACACTAAAGCAAGAAAAGCACTGATAGAAACTGAATTACTGTTTACCTCATGACTGAAGGGGGCTTTAATTAACACAACATTTTTTAATGAAATAACCTTCCCCCAAAGTAACCTATATGGGAAAAATGACTTTTTGACTCTGATGATGTGACATTCATGTAGTATCCATTATGAATGCTTATGTAATCCTCCCCCTCCTTTTTCTTCCAGAAGTACAAATGATACTGACCATGATCATGACCATGAAGAACTGTAATCATTCCAAGTCATCACTATTCTACCGAATTCACCATGCCTAGCAATGATGACCACATGTTCAAGAGTTAAATGCCAATACCAAACTCCATTTTAACATCTTTGGTCTATATTCCCTTACAATCTTTCTTGTTTATTTTTTATAACCACTTCTTAACAATGTTAGACTTTTGTAAAAAAGGTTTTAGAGGGTATGATCTTCTTTTGCACAAATACTTGTATTTTTGAAGCTGACTCTTAATTAGATGAAAGTGAACAAAAAGGTCTGGAAAGCATTGTTCACTGGAGCAGGTGGTAATTGTGCAAGAAGAGGGATCTTAACTAATTTAGATATAGTTTTTTCCAAATATTTTAAGTCTTACTGGAGTAATTTACAGATTTTTTTTTTCAGATTATTCAGGTAAATATATGGTATCACATAACAAAGTTTTTTATAAAAATACAACATTTCCTAAAATTTGAAAAAATATATTTCTTTGAATAAATTTTATACTGATAGCTCTGTAACTCTTTCTGGTCTAAGATTGTGCTCCCTGTGAAGCAGGGGTGGTGTGGCAGTCCATAGAGGAGAAGGAGTTGCAGACACATTTCTTCTGACTGAGCACTGTGTTCTTTTTGCACTTTGGTGCCAATGCTCAACTATCTGCAGACGTTTTGCTGTTTGCATCATTCCAGATAAGGAAAGAAGAAAGAGCAAAATCTCTCTCTCTTCTTCCAGCAAGAGGTGATCTAGGCAGCTTAAAACCTTAGTGCTTTTTTTCTTACTGTGTCCAAACTTCAACACTTCCATTCTTTGAATACATGTGTAGAATGCTCGCTTTCTATTAAACCTCACTGTCTCCATGTTAGAACTGACGTTTCTGTTACTGAGAAGGTATGCGTTTCAGATGCTTTGTCTAATAGTTAATGCAGGTTTTTAGGACACTGAGTAAAAGCATACGATGGACTTCATTCATAAAGTAATAAGTCAGTACCATCATTTGAGACTGCCATTGAGAAAACCTGTTAATTATTTTGGATTTTATTTTTATTTTGTTCTTGCAGGGGAGTTGATTGTTTGGGGTTTTTTTTGCTGTTGACTCTGTGTATAGTTAAAATGCCAAATTAGATTTATAGCAGCTTGAAGTTGTATTAAGTGATATTTTGCTTTCTGCAATTCTGTTACAAAATAAAGTTGTTTATTCTCTGTATGACTTTTGGCACTCAGACATAAACTGGGAAGATATTTGAAGTGAGCAAGTCAGTTGTGAGAACTGCGATTCTAGAGGCCACAGAACCTTGAAAAGCAGGGATTAGTACAAGTGGTCTCCAGGGTTACCAGAGGGGTGGCACGATTGCCTGGCTCCTAATTCTGACACTAAAGTATCTAAAGTATTTTAGACATCTTGCAATAAGCATCCTGGTTTCTGTGGTTCAGAGAAGAAATCTTCAGATACCAAAAAAGTTGAGGTGTGGACAGCACAGCGCAAGTTAAAATGTCCCTCAGTCTGCAAGTGTTTCTACTGAGTTTGTTGAGTTAGAATATACTGTGATCTTCAAGTAACAAAACAAATCTTAATACTTCTCAGTGCGTTCTTTTTCACTTCTGAACAATGTTTTTTGGTGCTATTCTCAGTTTAGATTGCTGCCATCTGTCAGGAGGCTGGCTTAACAGAAATTCCTATTAGTTTGGGCTTCATACAATTTGGCTAACATAAGACAACAGTAACCAAGATGTTGATTTATATATGCATAGAGGTGTTCTCAATTACATCCCACATTAGCTTGAAAAATCGCAGACAGCGCTCTGGCCTGCTTTTCTTCAAAAGAGGAGACATCCAGCCTTTCAAAACGGGGAAGAGAACCCCACCCAGCCTGGTAACATAAGGACGCTGCCGCAACACTGTGCATCGGTAGGGAGCTTGTCAAGGAAGTGGCAAGTTTGGGATGTGTTAAGTGGAGGTCAAAATGGAGATGTATGCATTGAAGGGGATGTCTTGATGGATTTTTCTTACAGAAGTGTGTAAGAAAAAGCTTTATCAAATCTTTGAGGTGTTTTTGATAAGGTGTAGTATTAGTCGCAGAACTCGTTGGGCGGGCGGAAAGCATATTCCTTCAATTCCGTATCGATTTGGATCTTTCTCATTTGTTAGACACTCGGATCAATATCGGATTTTATTGCAATTGTATTTAATCCTTAAAGCAGCAAATATAATATTCTTGAAAACAATATTACTTTCACTGAGAGCTGTGTTTCTTCAAATAGTAATCAGAACCTTTTGTCAGGGAAAAATTAATAGTGCTTTCAGGTCAGCATAGCTTGTGCATATCTACCACTTCCACTGATTAAACATGTACTAATTAAACAACTGTTGTCATGCAGAAAAACTTAAGCCCCGAGTGTGATCAGTCCTAAAAATAGTAAAGTTTTACTGATTCTGGTTGTATGTAATTATTCCAATGTTCTGGAATATTGTGCAAGTCTGAGTTTTCATTGTTACTTTTTTTTTCTTGTATCTCTAGCAAAAACTGCAGTGTGCAACAAAAGAAATTGTTCTCGAGGCACTTCACTAGCTGGCTTTGTAATACATAGGCAATTTCAAATACAATTACAGGCTCATTTAATGAGAAAATATTTCAGTAATTAATTCTGCTTAAATACTGAGAAAAGTGAGTCATGTGGATCCTACACAAAAATAAGTAATATGTCTTTCTTTTTAATCATGATCACCTAAGGGTTCATAATAAATATTGGAATTGTTCTACAGATTGTTTCCTAGATTAAGGTTTCATAAAGGACAAGCAAGCAACTCTGGGGCAGACTTTTTTTTTTTTAAGAAAACAATATCTATTGCTCAAAGCAATGAGCACCTATCATACAGAGCGTTTCTTGAAGTGTTCTTCTATTTGGCAGCTGAAGCGGAATGGCAACTTTTCGTTTGGCCACCGAAGAAATCAACTGGATGGAATAAAATAAATGCCGTGACAAAGGTCAGTTTGTGAGATTTGATAGCGATCCGAGTGACGACCAGCTGTACCTGTGGCCAGGCTGCGGTGGGAGCGTCTCAGCTTTTAGGCATGTTAGCTCTGGCAGTGGGGTGCTTGAAGCAGCTGGGGTCCCCCACTGCTGACCTGACTGCACCTCTGGAAGGTGTGAACCTGTTTTCATTGTCAGGCTGCTCAGTTGTTTGGGTTTTCTATGCTGCACTTGAAAAAAGACACTTGGATTAGAAATCTTAGTACAAATCACAAGCGTTAGAAAAGCTGCTAATGCCGGTAGTGTTAAATTATTCTGTTTGGCGGGAAGCAAATCCTACAAGAGTTTTTTGGAGGAAAGTATATGTGAAGGGCTGGACTGGGCCAGGCTAAATGACTGACACTCCCAGATTCCTGTTGCTGAGGCTGCTGGTGGTTGCCTGGGGGGGTGTGTAAGAATAAGTACTGTAGAAACATCGAACGCTTTGGGTTGGAAGGGACCTTGAGAGGCCATCTAGCCCAACCCCCAGCTGTACTAGAAAGTAGTACTTTCCCAAATGTTCTTCCAGCTTGCAGCAATTTTCAAAGACTTGCTGTCTCAGTCTTTCACATTTATCCGCCTCTGTGGACTTTTGGCTAATTGCTTTTTAAAAAATTCCTCTGGCAGGCATTTTCACCATTCTGTGTGTCTGAAGAAAAAAAACACCTTCCATTTCTTTTGACTCCGCCTCTGCTAGCTTCCCTTGCTGTCACTGCTGCGGGTACTGGAAGGGGCGCCCAACAGTCATTCTCTCTTCAGTTATTCCCCAGCCAGAAGCTATTCCACAATTCTTTAGCATTCTTATCACCGTTCTCTGTGCCTTTCCTACTAAAATCTTGAGACTTTAAATTCTGTTCTGGGAATTGAATAGGAAGCAATCGCAGATAGGCAGGAAGGTTTTAAATGTGCTCATGGCTGCGGATGGAGTAGAATCCTGGCTTTGCCTTCTTGCTAGTGAGAGGAAGGCAGGGGACTCCTCCGTGATAACAATGCTTGAAGACAAATTACTTCCTCACAATCACTGTTTTCATTTACAATTTATCTAGACGAAGGCTTAGTTCTATGGTGTCATTTAAATACGTTTTCCCTTTTCAAAGGAATTAGGTAAGATAACCATGATGTGTTTCACACCGGCAGCACAAAAACAGAGAGATTTCTTGACACCATTCAGTAACGGAACCGAAAACAGTAAGTCCTGAGGATTTTCATGACATTTTACTGAGTCTTGAACGTCAGAACCTCCTGTGTGTTAGCAATTGCAGCTCAGTAAGCAGTTCTGTCAAAGGCATCCAGCGTCTTTCTGTTAAAATTGTTACCTAATACCTATAGAGTATTCTTTGCAGTATCCGTCCCACCCTGTTACAGTAAAGTGCTGTTAAAGACTGCTCTCACCTTTCAACATTTTACATCTCTCTATTACCAGGCATTTTGTGAAATCATTTTTATGTTGTGGTAAGGCTTGCTAAACTTCAATTCTGTATCTTTACATTTGGTCCAGGCCAGTCTGTTCTTGAGTGGTGGGGGAATGGGTGTTTGGAATTGGGGGTGAGAGGTAGGGGTGGGGTGTTACAATTCCTTTAACCTCTGATCAGTGCCCAAGATTGCTGCTTTTCTGTTGGCAGCATCTTTCTTAAATAAGAAGTCAATTCCTTGCAGCAGCTTTCTCAACTTCCCCGCAAAGGACTGTGTGGGCTGTAGTTAATAAAAGAAGAGGAAAGGATGTATTACAGAGCGTAGTTAAAGGTTTTCTTGAAAGATACTGGCATCACAGAAGTTTCTGTACTCAGGTAAATAATAGTTTCACTGGCAGGGCTGAAGAATGGACTCTCTCTCACTTCAAAGCTGCCGGTCTACCTAATAAGCAAAAATGTGTTCTCTATGGATTATGTAGGAAAGCAAGAACTGTCCCACGGAACAGGATACTGAATCGGTTGGCAGCACGTCCTGCATGTGGCAAGGATCTATACCAGCTGCTTCTGGGGAAATTTTCGGACACTTAAATAGCAAAGGATGATAGAACGTACCTCGGGAGAGGTACGGAGCAGAGCCACGGCAGGAGGCCGTAGGAGAGGCTCATTGACTGTGTACTGCAGTTTTTCTGGGTGAGACAGCTGTAAGCAGGGGTGGATCATTAGAATCAAACTTCCAGATCTATCTCCTTAGACACTGCATTATACCTGGCTTTAACTTCTGGATCTCTACTGTCTGCCGTGTGTCTGGCCGTTAACGTTACAGCCTACAGGAACACTGACGCCGAAGAAACCGTTACCTGTGTACCCAGGAGAGCAGATCTTTCCATCTCCGGTAATAATAGCTGTATGAGTTAAGACCATTTTTCTTAAGAATCTTTACGTATTACATCTTGGTCTCAATCTCTGTGTCACATAAGTATTCATAAATACACTTCTGACGCTGAGTAATAGTGGTCTCATTTTTTTTTAGTGAACCTTAAATACTCTATATAATGACATAGATCTAAGCTTAGAAGCATTAAAAATGAAACAAAGTGTCACGTTCTTTTCCGTTGTCACTGCTTTCACAGGGTCACGATGGATCTTTCAATGAGAGCATCAGCATTTTGTTTGCTTAGTGCCAGCACTTAAAGTACGAGAGCGGAGTTCCCTGGAGGTACGAGTAGGCCAATGCGAAGGCCTTTTGAGCCCCTCTGCCTTTACAGTCAAGTCTGAGTGTACCAAGTATAAAGAAAGTGAGCCCTGCTTTGGGCTGTGTGGTGCTAGGCCTGCCAGGCAATGTAAAAGTCCAGGTAGGAGAGGAGGTCAGGGAGCAGGCACTTCCCCGTGTCCCCAGTAGCGATGGATGTAAGGTCCCCTCCGCAGCTGGGTGATGGGGAGCTGATGTGGTTTCCTCTCTCAGAGCTGCCTTTGGAGTGCTTCTTCCCTTTTGCTCTCTGAAACGCGTCGTGTTTGCTGCTAGTCAAATGGAATTTCTGGTGCGAAGTTTAAGAACTGGAGGGCTGCACGCTTTGCTCTTACTGGGAAGAACAACTTTATACAAAGAGTAAAATCAGAAGAAAAGTGTCTTCAGCCTTTGGATTACAAAATACTGGGAAAGCACATCTGGCGTGATGGCAGGTGGGGCCCCTT